GTTGTAAATACTGTGACAGCGCCCCAGTGATCCTCCTCGGATATTGATACATTTTTAGCAAACTGGACACCAGGGAGAGTCATCTGAAGACTTCTGTCTACCAGGTCCTCTGAGATCAGCTCTGTAATCCTCTGTGAAATATAGAAGCTAGACATGGACTGCCATGAAATGGACTTCATTTCCCTGTAAACGCTTTAATCAAGAGCTGCTAATCTCTGCCATCGTGGATACACACACTGACCTGTTTGGAATTTGTTTTAAGAAGATTTTCTATTTGAGTCCTTAAGACATGGATTTATATTTTTCTATATTTGTTCTGAATCTTAATTAAAGGGCATTGCATTTTCTCTAACCTCAAGGCCAAGAATTATTATAATTAATATCATTATTATAATTATATTTGTATATATTATATTTGATTGAAGCTTTCTGGTTGTCTTAATGCTCACCTATTTATTATTATTATCAGGTATTTTAACTATTTGCCTCACATTAATCAAGTAATAAAACAGCCTATATCTATATTCTGTGTGCACAGGTATTTATTTAAATATAATTTATATAAAATCTCAGTAAATAATATGTTTAAACTTGGATTTGTTATTGTCTTTTTGCTTCCCTGACAGTGATCGGGACATTTCCGACACATCTTCAGACGGTTGACCAATCACAACAGAGCCGACCAGTTAACCAATCAGAGCAGACTGGGCTCTGGTTTCAGACAGAGGGTGAAAAGAGGTGCTGCAGCACAGGCAGTATGAGAAAATTAAAGTCCTTTTTTAACCTTAAAGCAGGGAAACATGTCCCAGTGGAGGAACTAACTACCTGAACCTGAACATTACCATAATATGCCATCTTTAAACATGTGTCTCCAATAAAATGTGCCTGCATGGCTGTGGTAAAAAATTAAATGCTATGTATCTGTTTTGATGGTAGCGTAATTCTCTTGCCTATTGTTTTCTAAACTTTTCTGGATGGAACACTGCTCTTTCTTGAGGGTTCCATCTGACATGAAATAATTGGTAGAAACCAATCATCCCTTCTGTAGGAGCCATGAAACATGTTTAGTATTGCGTTTTGTTTTAATATTGTTTGAGCACAATTGATTGGTTGGCTTGGGTCACATGGATATGGGCGGCACTCATTATAATCCTGTTCACCGGCGTGAGGTGTGTGTGGAAGAGAGGGTGACACAGGGCCGTTGTACTTTTTGTTGACCGCAAATTGAAATTATTGCTCTGATTAATATAACGATGTACATGTCCAAGGAGAATAAGTTGATCATCCCAGTTTTCATTAAACCACATTATTTTGCAACAGAGTTTTTGATCTCAGCAAGTACTTTTTTGTAGCGTGTCACACAATATCAAACAGGCCCGGCCTCAGCCTCTCAGTGACACTTGAAAACTGTTTTGGAACACTTCAATTTTGCGGTGCACAATAGAATAATCACAACCAGGAAATAAACTGTCTCTTCGACAATTTAAATCATGACTAACACATTTTGAAAAAAAGGAAATTAAAATCAAAGTCTTTTCCCGAATACTTGTCCCAGTTTTAATATGTCCGATTTAACAACGACAAACAAGCTGAGATAGCATGGCCACTCAAATCACTGCTTCCTTGGGACGTCTTCATGACAGCATTGTAGAAACATCCATTGTAATGTGAAACGTCTTTATTTAGTGTTTCACTTACCGGGTCCATTTGTTTTGAATGCTTTTAATTTGACTGCAGGAAAAGCTATCAATGAACACTGAATAAATGCTTACCCAGAACTGATTGATAGATCAGTCATAAATAAAAAAAATGTCTAAAATCCAACTCTTTCTTCATACCGCTACTGAACTCTATCTTCTGTAATTGTTTTGATTGAATAACCCCTAGTGGCAGCAAATTATTAATTTTGCATTTAAGTTCAAAGTTCGATAGTTAGAGACAGACTATTTTATAAACATTTATAAACCCTCACATATAAAATGTATATGATCCTTTGGAGTTTTGTTGACCTGTTTAATGTAAGTGTGTTCTGATTGACCCTGACTATGATCATGTCAACAAAATGTCGTAATATAATAGCTGAAATGTTCAACAAAGTCCTATCCAGAATCACCTTGACTATGACCATATAAACTAAATGCATTTTAAAGGAAGGCTAAGGTTTGTTTGTTGACATATTGTGATGATACATTTGGCCAACTGTCACTGAAAACGTACCTAAAATGTACGTTTAATTGTTTTGTGTTTTAAAAAAAAAATGTTTCTCAAAATTAACATTTTCTTGACTGTAACGCGTTTGCACCTGTCGGCCACCGTAGTACCTACTCAAAATATACAACAGAGTCCTCATGGTAAATTACAATATCACATCTAGTTTTACTATCTCAGTCCATGCTAAACTGAAAAGTTGACAACCCTGCTCCTTTATTGAATTACATTCAGCTGATGTGATTTATGTAAAAATGTTGTATCTTTTGGGTGAATATTTTGTGGACATTTTGATACCCTGATACAGAAACCCCAAACACCAAGGTGCCTCCTCACAGAAAAAAAGGCTGCTTCATAACTTTCTTTTACCAACTGTATCTTCAAATGTTAATTCAAACGCAGTCAATTTGTCCACTCACTTTATTCACCTGTTCATAGCCAAGCAGTTTCTTTTCTTTTTCTTTTAATGAATAGTAGGCTATGGCCATTGTCGTGAAAGGGTAGCCTCCCTAGCGTGGAGCCTGCCTCCCCGATTATTTCCGGTCGCGTCTCCCCTCCTTTCCATGTATTATTCAAGTTGCGACCAAAGAGCTCCGCCGGCAGACACGGAGTGCTCGGTGACGTCAGCAAAGTTATCCGCCAGCAGCAGCTGTAGAGGAGCCGAGGACTGAGGAGAGGAGGAGGAGAGGGAAGGACGCTGCTGGATGTGGAGCTCTGACTGTGGAGCACCGAGGAGGACCGGGGCTTTTTTTTTCTTTCTACGGGACTTCAATTCTCGGACTTCTTCTTATTTGTTGGTAAGTAAACGCGGTTTCCTGTGTATAGCAAAGATTCCCTGACTGCTGTGCTGAGTGAGCTGTCGAGTTTCTTGTGTGTTGGTGCACACATTAGCTTCGCGCTTGGTTTACAACTCGAAGTTGACATTGTTGTTAGCTTTCTATTGTACGCTGTTCTTTCCCTAGTTAATACATTCCTAACCTAACGGGAAACTTTGTTGCGCAAGTCCGTGCAAGGTGTACTCTGAGCTAACGTCGAGTTTGTGTGTCTTTGTTGCTTGCAAATCTTTGACTAACTTTGATGTGAAAACACTGTGAATGTCCGCGTGCAGTCTCCTCGTTCTGACGCTATTTGACAGGTCGTCGCTAAAAAAGCTGTCGCTGTCATTGTAGCGCCGGTGACATCAAGAGATATTGTGTTAGTGATGGAAGTGGGACATGAAAAATAAATGTCTTCTTCTTTCTCCTGTTTCCAAACCCTTAATCCCTTATTATTCTTAGCAGTGGTGGTTCTAGACCAATTTTAATTGGGGGGGCCAGTTATTTTATGAGAGGGGCACGTGTAATGCATGACAAAACACCACAAAGACCGTGTACAAGATATTCACATTTACAATTCAGTATAAAGCCATAGCCCTAAAAACTCCATACAATACAATTATTGGTATTAGTTTGTTTTAGTAACATCCTTTTAGTTTATAGTTGATTTTATTATATTATTGATCAATTATTGCTGTTATTTTCGATCCAAGTTAGAAACACAGGCTTTGCTGCAACACTATCAGAAATTGTTTTTCATGTCTTTTTTTGGAGAGGGGCCACAGGGGGGTCCAAGTTCTGGCCCCTGTTGCCCCCCACACCCTACAACCACCCATTATTCTTGGGCAGTGAGACATATGGAATACTGAGGCACTATTTCAGACTTATGCTCATAATTGCTGCGAGTGTATAGCCTCTAACCTCCATGTGGAGAATGCATGTGTGTGTAGTTTGTGTGTGATATCACTTCATTTCATTATTTCAGAGGCATATTGAGACGAGTGACACTCATACATGAACAAGCATCTGCTAAATGGCATCTACCTTTCATCTTCTACATGTCAGATATTCTGCCAACATGATTGTTTTCAACAGGTAATAACCATGACAACATCTGTGTAAATTGTCTGCCACTGTGCAAGATATTAATACACCCATTATTTTGGGTGATGGATAAGCATCTGACAGTGGAGCACTTCGAGTTTCTGTTCCACACAGTTCTCATTTCACGGCTGAGGAGTCACCGTCTTTCTGTGGTTGTGAAATTAAGTTTTTTGAGAGACTTGTTGAAGTCAGCAATAACTATTATTACCTATCTCCGCTGTGCCTTTTAACAGGTGGATGGTGTAACGTGTATTGAACCTGCTCTGGATGTTTGGCAGCCACTGGTTTATTGAAAAGCAGCTGATCTCCAAATGTATGCTGTTAAAATAAGCATGAATTAGCCCTGAAGATTTGTGCTAATTGAAATGTTGTCTTGTTCCTAGTTGTCTTTCATGAGTAAAACTGGCTTGCCATGGATTTTAAGGCAGCAGGATATGAGGAATGTGTGCAATAACGGTTTTGCAATAATTGCTTGCGACACAAAAAATACAGCAAATGTCTTTCTTATTATATCATACAAATTGAACTGAACACTCAAATCACCAATAGAAACATTTATGATATTAGTTATTTTTTGAAAGAATGTAAAAGCCATGTATGTTTGTTATGGTATTTATTTTGGACACTTGTTGTTGTTTATTAGATGCAGAGGATGTATACAGTATATGGGGCAATAGTTGACAGGAAAAGGAGAGCATTTGTTGAAGGAGCGCACACAGTTCTGACAGACTTAACTAAAGACCAAACAACACTCACTTGCAGATTCTGAAAACGTAGTAATGTACAGCCACTTAAAAATACTCCAAACTAAACTGCAATGACACGTACATCTTCTGTTTGTGACTGCGTATGATCCCTACCACATACCTGTGTGTCAATGGCAAGTGGGAAAAGAGCGAATATGAATATTAAAAATGACCATTAAGGGGACGTTTCCTACTGATATTCTCTTTTATCTACCAAAATAATCCCATTGTGCAATAATGAATTCTCTTGCAATGTGTCAATATAACAACATTTGCATAAAAAATGACATATGTTCCCTTTTGGAGATCTAAGGTTCTGTCAATGTAACAACATTGTCTTACTCAGCTGAGTCTGAACAATATATCATTTTAGCATCCGAATGTTAGCATCAGAATGTTAGCATCAGAATGTTAGCATCAGAATTGCAATAAGTGCATGCACAATAGTCACATTAGATGATGTCAAGTAACAAAATTGACTTAAATACATCATGCTTCAACTTTTCAGGCATAATATAAAAGAAAAGCTTGAATACATCTCTTATCCATGACTAATTTACAAGAATAATCTGTACGGTAGAACGGATGTCCGCCTTCTTGGAAACGCCCTGATAGTTGTCAAACCGAAACTGAAAATGAGTTAGTAGTAGGAGGTGAACACTTAGGGTGCGTTCACACCTGCCTTGTATAGTCCGGTTGAATCAAACCCTGGTGCGTTTAGCCGCTTGGTGCGGTTCATTTGGGTCGGTGTGAACACAATCCGAGACCTCTTAAGTGAACTAAACAACCGGACTCTGGTCCGCTAAAATAGGTGGTCTCGGAAAGCTAGCTTGCGAACTCTGGAGCGGTTCATTGCTGGTGTGAACGCAGTCCGCACCAAAACATAGGAAGCGCAGTATTTACGCGTCATTTCCTGTTGTGGAGGAGAGGATTGCAAATGGTGGAAAAATGAGCGGCAGGGGACAAACGTGGAGCTATGAGGAACACAGATGCCTTCTGGATATCTGGGCAGAGGAGAACATTTCTCAACTGTTGGAGAATGATCATAAAAACACGGAGGTGTTCAAAATCTTTAGCGACAGACTGAAGCAACTTGGATTTAACAGTGTCGTATAAAGGTGAAGAAACTACGACAACAATACATATAAGTGCGCGACGCGCTGCAGAAGAGCGGCAGCTCCCCAAGTATCAAATAAACACTTATTTGGTATGAGGATCTCGACAGTATCTTGAACACAAGACCCATAGTGAGCCCCGTAGATATGGTCGAGTCCTATACGGAGGAAGAGGTGGATAAGTCGCCTGACGAGGGGAGCCTAAGCTCCACTGCCGATGCCGGGGCTGCTAAGGCGGATACTAGCCGCAGTTACTCCGCGGATGCCGAGGACTCTGATAACAATGGTACGTTCACTGTAAACTTATTTATGCTGCCGGTGTACAGGCCTTGTTATCTGTCCTTTTGACTTGGGGGATGAGCTGACTGGTAAACCCACTATAAAAAAAATACATATTAATAAGCAAGCCATTGTGAAGGCTATAAAGCTGCTTATGAAATAATTACTAGAAAAGTGTGTGAAGTGTAATTATGAAATCCTATGAACATTACCTACATCAGCCATATGCCCAACTCCTCAACTAACGAATCCTCTGAACTAATGATCCTAATATCTCACTGTTAACAGTTGGAGCTGGAGACAACCCCAATGACAGTGGACAGCCCTCTGAGCAGAGCACAGACCAGGATCAGAGTCAGCAGCCAGGAACAAGATGGGCTATTCCTGGTGCTAATTCCAGAAGAAAAAAAGCAAAGACTGGACAGGACAGTACAGTTCTCAGTGTAATGGCTGAGCAAATGAGAGAGGTGAATGCACTGATGGAAGCTGAGCAGAGTCACCAGAGGCAGGAGTCAGCCAATTTTGAGACGTTTTTACGGGCACAACAGGAAGCTGAAGAACGGAGATTCAAGGCCTTGCAGGAGCAAAGTCAGGAGAACAACAGAATGTTCATGCAGCTTATTGGCAATGTCATAAGTACCATGTCATGTCCAACATCACAAACACATATGCCCAACTGGATGTCAATGCAAGGTCACACAACATACTCCATGCCCCTGATGCCCACACAACATGCTATTCCCCCAAATTCGATGCCCCACAACTCATCCATGCTCATTCCTCCTTTCATACATAACCCACTCTTCAGGCCCTCTCCACCATCCATACCTACTCCATCAGCAATGCTTATTGCCACTTCTACCCACTCATCTCCACCTGTCAACCAAGAGCCTGACTGTCAACACATCATACCTCTGACTATAACCGTTGAAGAAGGAAATGATGTTCCAAAAATGTCCTTTAACTGAGTAGAAACGCAACTCGTCCTAGTTTGCAACTATTGTTAGGTGGCTAAATGTTGTGCCAAGTTGAAAAGCTGCTGCTTAAAAAAAATGTGTTATTGAAATATTCTGCCTGTTTGAACTGTTACCTCTAAGCACTGAAACTGTGACTGTACCTTTTTACTTTGTTGAATTGAGAAGTATTTCTTATTTAATGATTATGCATTGTTCTACCTCAATATGTGGTGCCTTTTTTTTGTATAAATATATATTTTATATCTTGTGTCAAAGATTGGCTACATATCTTACTACCTGTTTGTAGTATTTTTTGCAGTATAGCAGTTGTTTTTATACTGTAGCAAAGTCTGACATGTTTGCACTTGGCCCCAAATATTTCTTGCATTTGAAGCAAAATGTTTGTGCACTTCCAAATAAAAATTGTATTTTATATACAGTACATTTGTGTGGAGTTTACAGTATGTTAAAAAAAAGTATGGTCAATAACTCAAAGTACTTTCTTTTATTGTAATGAAAGTGTCACATTAATGAGCTCAATGGAGAATCATTACAGAACATGCAGTATCTTTCACATTGTACATTATGCTTATGCAGTATATTATGTGCCAATATCTATACATCATTTAAAACAAGTAACAAACATAGAACAATAACACAGTTATACTGTAAGTGCAATCTTGAACAAAATAAACCAAATCTCTTCACTCCTGCTTTCCTGACCTGTCCTCCTCTGACCTCACCTCCTCACTTCCCTCCTCCTCCTTACTTTCTTTCTCCTCTCATCTCGACACCTCTTTTTATCTAACCTCCTCTTGTTTCTAAATTCTGGCAAAATAGGCACACATAGCATTTCTAATGTCTCGGCCAGCATGGGCCTGATTCTGCTGTGCTGCTGCAGCATCCTCAGCTCCATCCTGACCAGCCTCCCCAACCCTTCCAAAAACTGACTCTTGCTCATCAATGTATTCATTGTGTAGTTCACAAAAGTTGTGAAGTACACAACATGCCATTATTGTTCTGCTGACAAAAGTGAGGTGTGTGTCATTTATTTTGAGCAGGCACCTCCACCTACCCTTGAGTTTCCCAAATTTGTTCTCTCAACTGTCATCCTCGCCTGACTAAGCCGGTGGTTGAACAGGACTTATTCAACAGTAACGCCTCTTCCCTCAGGATAGGGCTTCATGAGCCATGGGAGAAGAGGGTAAGCGGAATCCCCCAGGATAACAAGAGGCACATCCACCCCCTCGAATGTTTCAGTCCACTCAGGCAACAGGGTTCCAGCTTGAGCACGGCGGTAGAGTGAGGAGTTGGCAAATACTCTTACGTCATGGACTTTACCCAGAGATGGGGACTCGAGTTTGTGACTCGGACTTGAGTCGCACTTAAGTCGCACACACAGAGACTTCAGACTTGACTTGGACTCCTGCTCAAAAGACTTCGGACTCGACTTGGACTCGTGTTTTGGGACTCGTGAACAATCATTGTGTTTTCTATTTTTGGCGTATTAAAGGGTTAAACCGGCTCGAGATCGCTAGAATTTGAAAATACACAACCGGAGAAAATCTGCCACTTCCTCACAGAGCCCCTCCTCCAACACACACGAACGCACATGACCAATGAGGGCACGAGATAAGTTTGTGCCCCGATGGGAGGCTGACAGGCAGGTAGGCCATCCAGTTACTTTAGCCGGGCCGGCTATCGGGATGTTAAGAGCATTCCATGGAATATAACAAAAAGTGTATCTCGAGCCGGTTTCTCAAACTTACCTACCCCACCTTTAACATTAACATCATGGTAACACCATGGCGACCGGCGGCACACCTGCAGCTGTACCGCTTGTAATTAGGTTCAACTATAAAAACTTCGAACAAAACGCCGGCGGCACCAACAAAAGGAGCGCACACTGCAAAGTCTGCAATATTAAAATCAAGGATGCTGGTGCAACAACGTCAAATTTCATCAGGCACTTGAAAACTCACCCGGAGAGGTCAGTCACATTAACGCATACTGTATGGACGGTTAGCAAACATGTTTAGCTCAGCATCAGCTATGTAATGTTAACTTATTACATTACATTACATTTCATTTAGCTGACGCTTTTATCCAAAGCGACTTACAATGACCGATTACAGGGACATTCTCCCTGGAGTAACTATGGGCTAAGCGCCTTACTCAAGGGCACACTAGTGGTGGTGATCCAGGCGGGATTTGAACTCACAATTTTCCGATCTTCAGCCCACCTCACTTAGCTTGCTACTAGCTTTGTAACTGAATATTTGAAAAGATGAGTGAATGTTTGCTTGTCACACTTGTTTGCGTTGAATGACGTTGACATCCAACTCTTGACATGACATAAAAAAGGTCGGTAACGTTAATCATTACGTTCCGTTGCCACCATCTACTGGCTAACGTTAAACGTAGAAAAATACATAGTTACATACATAAATATATCTGTCGGTTTATAGGCAGTTTACAGGTTTATTGTTGACCACGTAACGTTAATGTTACAGGTTTATCAGGTTACCATTACACTGGGTTTGAGTGAGAGGATAGAGGAATATGTTTATTTATAGTATACTTAAAAGATGTAATTAGAGACCCAGTGTAATTAAACAATACGGTTGCAGAGGTCAAATTTTAACATTTTTGTCCACTGGCCAAATGGCTAGCCTAGTGAATGTTGACATTTTACCAGCCACTCAATAGATAGCCATTGTTATTTTTGGCTGGTGCGTGCAACATACAGTACCAGCCACTTGCATGATTTACCAGCATTTGGCTGGTAAATGGTGTTAATGGAAGATATCTCTTTTGGAACAGGTCATGTTTTTATCACCAGTTCAGTATATTTCAGATAATATTGCAGCACTAGTTTTTTAGTTGCAAATGGCACAGAACAAATGTTTACTTTTAAGTACTTTTAACACAGTTTCCCTGCGGGGGATTAATAAAGTATTTGTGATACTGATTTCTGATTCTGAAGTGTTTTGCTTATAAGTTGTTTGCATTTAGCTAAAGTGTGATGTTTTTCCTCATATTGCATTGCAATAGCCTGTTTAAAGTGATCATATAACAAACAACTAATCAGTACTGATACTGTATGCTAATTAGTGCTGGGGGGAAACAATTATTTTGAAAACGATTAATCGGGCGATTATTTGATCGATTAGTCGACTAATCGAACGATTATTTTTCTGTTGTTCAATTCATAAAAAACGTAATGTAAAAAAAACGTAATGTAACATTTTTTTTTTTTCACGATACTGTGTCTCAGGGGATCTTAATATTTAAGAACCTATTAATGTGTTATACCAGATTAACGGAAATAATCTCAGCTAACTGACGATACAAACCATGTTTACCAAAACACAAGTCTCATAAGAAGCATCTAAATGACCCCTGAGCGAAAAATGCTAACGGACATTGGCACAGATCTCAAGATAAAAGTACCCTTATTACTTATCGTAGCTGCACACACAAGATATCCGATTAAAGCTGAGACTCCACAGATTATGTAGGTACATAGTATCATCACTGAGTGATCCGGACTCGCGACAGGGGAAGCAAATACAGTCATCACAACACGTACCTTCACAGAGCTTCTAGGGAGATCGTCTCACCGCCGTAGCTGTCAATCTGATCAAAATACGTGTTCAATGGCATTAAAATGAGAAAAAACGCGGCTGAATCGGTTAATCCATAGGTTTTTAACGTCTATGTATAAAAAAAGTATTGAATTTATAATCCATAATTCCATTTTAATGTAAAAATCGGAGAGCAAATGCTAGCTGCTAATGGTTGCCACCACAGCTAGCTGCTGCTTCCGGTCAAGCAGCAGTCTCAGTGAGATATAAATATATAAATATCTTTGCGTTTTGGACTAACTTTAAAATATTCCCATGCTTTTGAAGACCTAGGGCGAGATGTTTTCGTTTGAGGGCTTCGTGCGCAATCCTGTGAGGAGGAGTTGGTAGCCGTTTCAGTCTCCATTGTGTTAGAAGTGCGATTGCGAACTGCTTGTTGCTTTGGGTGACCCACGTGTGTGTGGCGACCATATATACAGTCTATGGTGGCGACGCGTCGACGCGGAAATATGTCGTCGATAGGGTTGGGAACCGAAACACGGTTCCAGATGAGAACCGATAAGAAAATGCCGGGTACCGGGTACCCATACAAAATACACAATTTCGGTTCTGCTTAATGGTTCCTAAACGCGGTAGACCCTGTATTCCAGCGGGTCCGTCTGCACCGCGGTGCTGCGGTGACCCGGTGGAATACAAGGCGGACCTGGAGAATCACAGAACGGCCGGTCGTCAGCGGGCCGTTGACGGCCGGCTCGGTACGCTGATGGCCGGCACCGCCCTTCATTTTTTTAAACGGCATCATATAAATTGCGCTGACAGGCGACAGAGGTCCACAGTTGCCCCGCAGCGATGCTCCCCCGCCCTCCCGTAGACATTTCACGAGCTCAGTCACTTCATAACACCAAAGATAGGTCGCGGTAAACACTCTGAAGTGAGGCTCCACTACACTAAAAAAGAAAAAGAAAAGGCAAAGTGTAATGCCTGTTAATAGCTTGCCACAGGCATAGCTCAGTTAAAATAAAGCACAGCTATTGTGCAATACATTTGTATTGCATGTATATTTTTTAGTAACAATTTCAGTTAAAGCTTTTAAGAATAAATATATTTTTGTTATCTAAACGTTTGACCTCTTTATTTTACAATTTTGGAATCGAAACGGGGAATCGATAAGAACCGGAATCGATAAGCAGAACCGGAATCGAAATCGGAATCGATACATTTCAAACGATACCCATCCCTAGTCGTCGACGATATTTTGAAGTCGACGCGTCGCTACAGCACTAATGCTAATAGATATAGGAGTGATAATAATACAGTAAATGCTTTGAATTTCTTAGATATAGCTGTGCAGTATTCTTAACAGACTGGATAGCAGCAGACAATAGAAGGCTTATTACAACCAGAAGAGACATGAGACTTTTATTTTTTAGAGACTTGAGACTTGACTTGGACTCGTGACCAAAGACTTGAGACTTGACTTGAGACTTGACTTGGACTTGCAAAAAAAGACTTGTGAACATCTCTGACTTTACCCGAGAAACCTATGTTTATGTCCCAAAACATCATGCGATGATCCACCACACCTTGCAGAATCACAGAGTGAAAGCCTTTGCGGTTATAATAGTCGGCAGGGGTGTCACTCGGAGCCAGGATCCCAATATGAGTACCATCAATAGCTCCAACAACTTGTGGGAAGTGCCATTTGTCCCGGAAGGCTTGCATGATGGCTCTCAGCTGTGCTGCAGTTGGAACTTTAATTAACATCTTACCCATGGTG